ATCCCACTTTGTAATACAAATCCAAGAGGTATGAATACTTTTTCAAGGCACTATATTTAGACAGTGAAGCTCTATACTCCAGCATTTGGATTTGAGATCAAATGTTTTGTATGAGGTCACAGTTCAGAATGTCACCTTTTATTTGAGGGTATTTTCATATATATGTTTTACCGTTTAGAAATGAATGTGCTTTATGTATCTAGTCCCCCCATTTTAAGGTGTGAAGTATTTGGACAAATTCACTTATAGTGCAATATTGTGTCATTTTGGAGTCACATTTTCTTATTATGATATTTATCTGTCTGTAACGGTCTCACTCATCATTACTCACGATTCATTCAGGATTATCCGTAATCCTGGTAGCATCTACAGTGAGGGAAAAAAGTATTTGATCCCCTGCTGATTTTGTACGTTTGCCCACTGACAAAGAAATGATCAGTCTATAATTTTAATGATAGGGTTATTTGAACAGTGAGAGACAGAATAACCACACAAAAAATCCAGAAAAACGCATGTCAAAAATGTTATGAATTGATTTTCATTTTAATGAGGGAAATAATTATTCGACCCCCTCTCAATCAGAAAGATTTCTGGCTCCCAGGTGTCTTTTATACAGGTAACGAGCTGAGATTAGGAGCACACTCTTAAAGGGAGTGCTCCTAATCTCAGTTTGTTACCTGTATAAAAGACACCTGTCCACAGAAGCAATCAATCAATCAGATTCAAAACTCTCCACCATGGCCAAGAACAAAGAGCTCTCCAAGGATGTCAGGGACAAGATTGTAGACCTACACAAGGCTGGAATGGGCTACAAGACCATCGCCAAGCAGCTTGGTGAGAAGGTGACAACAGTTGGTGCGATTTTTCGCAAATGGAAGAAACACAAAAGAACTGTAAATCTCCCTCGGCCTGGGGCTCCATGCAAGATCTCGTGGAGTTGCAATAATCATGAGAACGGTGAGGAATCAGCCCAGAACTACTCGGGAGGATCTTGTCAATGATCTCAAGGCAGCTGGGACCATAGTCACCAAGAAAACAATTGGTAACACACTACGCCGTGAAGGACTGAAATCCTGCAGCACCCGCAAGGTCCCCCTGCTCAAGAAAGCACATATACATGCCCGTCTGAATTTTGCCAATGAACATCTGAATGATTCAGAGGAGAACTGGGTGAAAGTGTTGTGGTCAGATGAGACCAAAATGGAGCTCTTTGGCATCAACTCAACTCGTCGTGTTTGGAGGAGGAGGAATGCTGCCTATGACCCCTAGAACACCATCCCCACCGTCAAACATGGAGTTGGAAACATTATTCTTTGGCTGTGTTTTTCTGCTAAGGGGACAGGACAACTTCACCGCATCAAAGGGACGATGGACGGGCCATGTACAGTCAAATCTTGGGTGAGAACCTCCTTCCCTCAGCCAGGGCATTGAAAATGGGTCGTGGATGGGTATTCCAGCATGACAATGACCCAAAACACACAGCCAAGGCAACAAAGGAGTGGCTCAAGAAGAAGCACATTAAGGTCCTGGAGTGGCCTAGCCAGTCTCCAGACCTTAATCCCATAGAAAATCTGTGGAGGGAGCTGGGTTCGAGTTGCCAAACGTCAGTGGGACAAAATCCCTCCTGAGATGTGTGCAAACCTGGTGGCCAACTACAAGAAACGTCTGACCTCTGTGATTGCCAACAAGGGTTTTGCCACCAAGTACTAAGTAATGTTTTGCAGAGGGGTCAAATACTTATTTCCCTCATTAAAATGCAAATCAATTTTTAACATTTTTGAAATGCGTTTTTCTGGATTTTTTTGTTGTTATTCTGTCTCTCACTGTTCAAATAAACCTACCATTAAAATTATAGACTGATCATTTCTTTGTCAGTGGGCAAACATACAAAATCAGCAGGGGACCAAATACTAAACTTTAATGTATATATTAAAAAAATATATATACATATGCCTGACGCCCCACAGTTTGGGAACCACTGCTATACACTGATGTCTATCATTTTAAACTGTTTGGCAAAATATTACTCTGGAAAGTCTAAGCATGATACAAATAATGAATTAGTTCCTAGTTATAATGACATTTAATTAATCTTTTTAATTTCCTTCGTCGTTCTTACCAGGCAAAATGAGTAGAGCCAGAGCCATTTCCATCCAGATGGGTTGTGTCAGCCCAACACTCATCTCTGTAGCCACACAGCAATCTCTCTAAGGTCCTCCACTTGAGTCAGAGTTCTTAATACAGCAGTCAAAGATGCAGAGTGAACCTCAGTCCTCTAGTTTAAACACAGACATTTTGTGTCAATTCATTTAGGGGCCTGAAGTTACTCATTAGGAGCTGCGCTGCAAAAAGGCAAACTGTCTTTGCAAGTGTCATCAAAAGACAAAAAGTCTGGGTGTATCAGCTAGCTAATGAGCTGAGTGAGAGTCACCTGATGATATCAGAGACCCTCTCTGAAACCAAATCAGGTCATTTTACCACAGGCACAACATGCCTTCAGGAAGTATTCATACCCCTTGACTTATTCCACATTTTGTTTTGTTACAGCTTGAATTCAAAATTGATTAAATCAAAAATGTTTGTCACCCATCTACACACAATACCCTATAATGACAAAGGGAAAACATGTATTTAGAAATTGTTGCTAATTTATTGTAAATGAAATACAGAAATATCTCATTTACATAAGTATTCACACCCAAGTCAATACATGTTAGAATCACCTACAGCTGTGAGTCTTTCTGAGTAAGTCTCTCAGAGCTTTGCTCACCTTGATTGTACATATTTGCACATTATTCTTTTTAAAATTCTTCAAGCTCTGTCAGGTTGGTTGTTGTTCATTGCTAGACAGCAGTTTTCAAGTCTTGCCATAGATTTTCAAGCCAATTTAAGTGAAAACTGTAACTAGGCCACTCAAGAACATTCTATGTTTTCTTGGTAAGCAATTCCAGTGTATATTTGGCCTTGTGTTTTAGGTTATTGTCCTGCTGAAAGGTGAATTTGTCTCCCAGTGTCTGTTGGAAAGCAGACTGAACCAGGTTTCCCCTAGGATATTGCCTGTGATTAGCTCTATTCTGTTTCTTTTTATCCTCAAAAACTCCCTAGTCGTTGCCGATGACAAACATATCCATAACATGATGCAGCCACCACCATGCTTGAATATGAAGAGTGGTACTTAGTGATGTGTTGTATCGGATTTGCCCCAAATATAACATTTTGTATTCAGTAGATAAAGTAAATTTCTTTGCCACATTTGTTGCAGTTTTACTTTAGTGCCTTATTGCAAACAGGATGCATGTTTTGGAATATTTGTTGTTTGTACAGATTTCCTTCTTTTCACTGTGTAATTTAGGTTAGTATTGAGGAGTAAGTACAATGTTGTTTATCCATCCTAAGTTTTCTCCTATCACAGCCATAAAACTCTGTAACTGTTTGTAACATTGGTCTCATGGTGAAATCACTGAGTGGTTTCCTTCCTCTCTGGCAACTGAGTTAGGAAGGGCGCCTGTATCTTTGTAGTGACTGGGTATATTGATACACCATCCAAAGTGTAATTATTAACTTCACCATGCTCAAAGGGATATTCAATGTCTGGGTTATTATTATTATTATTATTATTTTTTACATCTACCAATATGTGCCCTTCTCTGCAAGGCATTGGAAAACATCGCTAGTCTTTGTGGTAGAATCTGTTTGAAATTCACTGCTCAACTAAGGGACCTTACAGATAATGGTATGTGTGGGGTACAGAGATGAGGTAGTCAATAAAAAATAATGTTAAACATTAATATTGCACATAGAGTGAGTCCATGCAACTTATTAAGACAATTTTTACTCCTGAATTTATTTAGGCTTGCCATAACAAAGGGGTTGAATACTTATTGAATCAAGACATTTTAGCTTTTCATTTGTAATTAATTTGTAATTAACTTTGACATTATGGGGTATTTCGTGTAAGCTAGTGACACAAAATCTCAATTTAATCCATTTAACAAAACGACATTTGGAAGAAATCAAGGGGTGTGAATACTTTCTGAAGGCAATGTAAGTCATTTCCACTTCTACTGTATGTTAACCATAAACAGAGACCTGTGGAGGTTGAGGGCGTGACCCAGATTGTACCCTGTGCTCCGTGCAAAAAAACAGTAGGCCTACCAGTCACAACTGCTGCTGGGGTCCAGACCAAATAAGGAGAATGTTGTTTCGCTGAAGTGATTGGGTGTAATGTTGTACGTTGTCCACATGGTGGCAGACTACTGTGTATGACCGACATTTCCAGATGTAAATTATTCCCAAATCTATGGGTTATTCCACACAGAAGATTTATAGAATAAACCAACTATATGAAAATGCGGCATACACGTGTGAAACCAAAAATGGATATTAGACAAACAGAGAATAGTTTATACTGTAATTGAAAAAACTAAAACTGAGAAATCTATTTTTTTTAAAGCTCTCAAAAGGTTTATTATAGGCAAGGTAGGCTATATAAACTTCTCAGTGGGTCTACAATTTTTTTTTTAAACATACAAAAAAAACATCACATATTAATTATTATATAGGAAACTTGAGCAACATTGTGAATTGTAAACCTTTTAAATCATCATAAAATGAAAATGCTTAAAGTGCTTTGATTTGTGCAGAACCTGACGTTACTCCTCTTCAGCAGTTCTGACCTTTTGGTGAGTTTTATAAACTGATACATTCGCTTCATCTAAATTAAACGTCAGATCATGTCTGACACCATACCCGCCTTCAGACTAGCCTCCACCCCTGGCTCTCTAACGCGTAAAACTGATAAATTCATACAGGATTCTATCAAGCAGAATATGAATCACCCACTCTATTGTAGCCTAGTTAACGAAATTTAAATACGATCACGAGGTCACTATATAAGAGAGGACAGTAGGAAAAAAACATATACCAAGTTTTCATTGAGGTGAAGTTATAGGGAGAAAGTTAAAGGAGCGCAAGAACGAGAACTTCACACAGTGTTCGACATGGAGAGGTCCGGTAAACTTGCTTTAGTAATTGTAGTTATTTCCATGCTGGTTTCTTGCAACCCAACAGAAGCGTGGTACAAGCAAGTTTCCGGCCCAAGCTACTACTCGGTGGGCAGAGCTTCGGGTTTGCTGTCCGGGATCCGGAGATCACCATATGTTAGGAGGTCCGAGACCGAGTCGGACAGCGGAGAGTCTACCGTGAACAGCATCCTCTCGGAACAGAGCAGTCGACTGAATTCGGTTCTTAAATCTATGGTAAGAGGCTATATTTTACATTACTCATGTTCAATTTAGCAATGCGCATTGGACGCAGGCACTTCCTGTGGTCCGTAAATGTGCTTAAAGGTGCGTAAAAGTTAAACATTGCACAGGGCACAGAACATAATTTTTTGGTAGACTACTATTATATATTTAAAACAGTTTATTTCTGAGAGCACACCCTGAAACTGGATCATCATGAAGGTCCATTCAGCACAACCAAGTAGCCTACAGCCTCATTTTACAGTCAAGTTTGGAATAGATTGGAAGAAAAATACAATACATCAAAAGGACACATTAGAATATCAGTTAATAAGGTCAAAAATTGTTATTTTTGGGGGAATGAATCTCAATCAACAAACAGGCACAGCAGGTCTTCAACATCAATTGACCTTCTCATAATTCGCTTAATGTTGCATTATGTTCATTACAGTGTTGATTAAAATGTCTTGTTTTTTTGCTGTTTCAGCCTATTTGTATCAAAGATATCACACCGAACCTGCAGAGCTGCGAACTTGTTCAGGATGGCTCAAGCTTATTTCAATGTAAAGCAGACGTGTTCGTATCGCTCGACTCATTGGACTGTGTGGAAGCATGATCAGCACCCCGAACGTGGATGGACTGATAATGTTCGATGTAACCGAATGTTTCTTATTTTCCATGGCACAAATATAATTGTTTTGTGTGAAAGTCTGTTTTAGCGTCCTGCCATGCGCGGTCTGACTACTACTTCCCCTAACGGGTAATAGCCAATGTCTCTGTTAAAGCATATTTTTATTTAATGTATAGCAATGTACATATTAATGTATTAATTTCTGAAAATGTATCTTTGTTCATGAATAAATAAGTCTTATATTGCACTCAAATTATTTGACCCAATTATTTTGCCATATAGGCCAACATTAATCCAGCTTCATACATTTGTACAATAATTCTCACCCAAACACCTATAAAATAATCACCTATGTGTATGTAAACGTCAAAAAATACATTTTAGTTAACTCAAATAGGCTATAATGCAAACCACTCAAGCTTGGCATACATCTGCCTCCATCTTAAAATATTTACCATCATCACAGACAAGTAGGCCTATACATTAATTTATTGAATTAAAACGCTTAGAAAATAATGTTAACACCAACATGATTATTGTAAGAAGAAAAAAAATACAGCCAAAATGAGGAATGTCCATTCATATTAACTTAGCTCAGTCCTTTAAATCCATGATGGCAATAATAATTAACTAAGGATATAGCTTTGAATGTCCTGAGCAACTAAATTAAGTTGGTTTTACAGATCATAACAGTAAAAAGAAATGCACACACACAATGACAGCTGTCTGTAGTTAGTATATATTACATATGTTAAAAAATATATATAAAAACAAATATCCATCAATCAAATCTAGAAAGTGTCTTTAAGGCACTGTTGCGGTCAATGGACCCAGGTCAGGTCTTATAGCAACGAGACCACCTCCAGGTTCTCCTTGACGATGGTGTCCATGACAACGTGGAAGACCACCTGTACGTTGTGGGTGTCCGTGGCGGTGGTGTAGTGGTGGTAGACCAGCTTGTTGGGGGTCCTGTTGCAGGCCACAAACATGGCAGTGATGTGACGCGCGGCAGCATCCACATCCCAGTCGGCTCCTGTATAAGGGGACATAGCAGAGAAGTCATGTCAATTGAGTGACATATACCCAATTGAGTGAAGTATACAAGTTGAAGTTCAATCTCCAATAATGGACTGGCCATAGGGCAGTTCGGGCAAATGCCTGACGGGCTGGTCCATCTTTAGCCCATGTTTAGTAAATATAGTTTTTTGTGCTGTGATCATTATTTGGCTAATGATGGGGTCCTCAAAAAAAATAAAAAAATAAGCCGTTAGAAATTCCCAGGCAAATATATTTTCTCAGTCCACCCGTCCATCTCTAGGCTTGTAAGCTTATTCCATATTATCATCATCCATACTCCATCACACGATTACAAAGACTGTTCCATATCACCATCCATACTCCATCACACGATTACAAAGACTGTTCCATATCACCATCCATACTCCATCACACGATTACAAAGACTGTTCCCTATCATCATCCATACTCCATCACACGATTACAAAGACTGTTCCATATCACCATCCATACTCCATCACACGATTACAAAGACTGTTCCATATCACCATCCATACTCCATCACACGATTAAAGACTGTTCCATATCACCATCCATACTCCATCACACGATTACAAAGACTGTTCCCTATCATCATCCATACTCCATCACACGATTACAAAGACTGTTCCCTATCATCATCCATACTCCATCACACGATTACAAAGACTGTTCCCTATCATCATCCATACTCCATCACACGATTACAAAGACTGTTCCCTATCATCATCCATACTCCATCACACGATTACAAAGACTGACTCTGGTATAAGAGTGCTGTATGGAAACATGTTTTGTAGCCATCATGCACCAATGGGGTGAAAACAGTGGTTGTCTACTGAGCCTTGCTCCTAGCTAGTCCTTAAACCACACAGTATCAGCTAGATGTGTGTTTGTTTCAAAATCATGGAAGGACACTTGAAAAGTTTGGGAAAATCCAATGTGTCTGGAGATGTGAAAATAAATAAAATGTCTCGTTTTGGCATGATGAACTGAAACTCAGTGAAAAAGTGAAATTATGTTCCGTGACAAGTTCATACCAAGTTCACGCAAAACAACTTGGTTCTTATACAGTGGAAAACCAGAGAGAGAACAATCTCTGCAGCTCCACTGAAGACTGAATCACCTCTATTTTAATTACAAAGCCTCCAGTTCTGAGGGATGAGAGTGAAATATTTAAGACTGTTAATGAGCCCTGAGGACCAGAAAGAGGCTGTGTATAAGTGAGGTGCTATCGGTCTGCCATGATAACCCCCCCGGCAAGACATTATTCTGGCTTCTGAGACAGTGGCTGCGTCTGAAATGGTATCGTATAGAGCTCTGGTCAAAAGTAGTGCACCATGTAGAGGATAGGGTGCCATGTGAGACGCAGACATTGTCTTGTTTCTTGATACTCCCATTGGGAATGCAATGAGTAGGTTTCCCTCATGCTGCAGGGGAAACTGCAAGAGTTCCAATCTAAAGAATGTGGCAGCGTAAACCGGAATGTGGATACTGGATGTATATTTGAGGGGGATTCCCATAGAAAAACACAGTACCACAAGGATGCCTGCAGAGAAGGGATTCTCCCTATGGAGAAACTGGTCCCGCTATAAAATGACACGCAGCTTATAAAGCCTTCATAAACACTACATAAATTATAACCGTATGTCATGCTCTATAAAGGGCTCATAAATGTGGCATAACTGTGTGATAACCAATGTCAAATGTGCATTAACCCGCTGTCAAATATTACATAAACCTGTGCTTTATAAAGGGTGGCATAAGCACTGCTTAATAAAGGCTTTCTAAATCATTAAATTGAGGTTTCACAAAGCATTTATAATCTTGTCATGCATCTTGGTAGAGCATTGCAATGCCAGGATAGTGGGTTCGATTCCAGGGACCATCCATATGTTAAACTGTATGCACACATGACTAAGTCGCTTTGGATAAAAACATATGCTAAATGGCATATATTATTTTACTCCAAAACATATCTAGAATGGCCCAACCGCTTTCCCTCTTGGGTGCATAGCCAATATTGACCTCAACATTCCGCAAAATGCTGTGCTGCAGGATGACACAGGCTCTAAAGTGCAGTCATGCACAGAAAGAAATGTCTAACGCCTTTTAAAACCATTAAAAAATGTGCCTAATTCCGTTTGTCTCCCCAAATTCCGTTTTCTACTCGGTTTTGTTTTTCCCAAATCTTTCTGGTTTTGCCCCAGTTGTTTTACACACTTTAATAAAAAAAATATATAAAAAAATGAATTAGATTTTCTGTGTTCACAACAATGTTTAAACCGCATCAGGGGACAACTTGAGTTCTAAAAAAGCACCTTCGATTTTTTAGTGTAGTTACCCTTTTTAATGTATTTTTTAATTTATTTTATTTTATCTTTATTTAACCAGGTAAACCAGTTGAGACCAAGTTAACATTTACAACTGCGACCTGGCCAAGATAAAGCAAAGCATTTACAATAAAGCAAAGCATTTACAACACACACACACACACACACATACACCGTTTGGTTAGCAGTGTTTCTGTAAGCACACGTGATGGTATTAGCTAATCAAATGCCCATTTGTTTTGCCACTGGACAGCGAAAAATAAGTTAACCTTTATTGTAATTTTGTAGTAGTTAAGCTTCAAGTCAGATTACATAGCTACTTCAAATAATTATTTCAAATAATTTCGGTGACTTCACAGCAATTGCTAGAAAGCTAACATTAGCTAGATAGCTAGCTAACGTTAACAGCATAAGTTCGATAGCTAGCTAACTATACCAATACGAAATGTAGCTAGCTAGCAGGCTAAACTAAATAAAAATCACCCTAGATCCAGCCACTTCAGTCATGTCATGAGATTTATAAATGAAAGAGGATTATAACACGAATCGAAAGGAGATCCCCCATCTCCCCATATAGAGTATTACTGGTGCAGCACAGAAATGCCCTTATCCAGATGGTGACAAGACTTGTTTTTATACTGAACAAAAATATAAAAACGCAACATGCAACAATTTCCAAGATTTTACTGAATTACAGTTCATGTAAGGAAATCAGTAAATTGAAATTAATTTATTAGGCTCTAATCTATGGATTTTACAAGACTGGGAATACACATATGCATCCGTTGGTCACAGGTACCTTCAAAAAAAGGTAGGGGTGTGGATCTTAAAAAGTCAGTATCTGGTGTGAACACCATTTGCCTCATGCAGCGCAAGCCACTATCAGGCTGTTGATTGTGGCCTGTGGAATGTTGACCCACTCCTCTTCAATGGCTGTGCGAAGTTGCTGGATTTTGGCCGGAACTGGAACACGCTGTCGTACACGTCGATCCAGAGCATCCCAAACATGCTCAATGGGTGATATACAGTGGGGAGAACAAATATTTGATACACTGCCGATTTTGCAGGTTTTCCTACTTACAAAGCATGTAGAGGTCTGTAATTTCTATCATAGGTACACTTCAACTGTGAGAGACGGAATCCAAAAATCCAGAAAATCACATTGTATGATTTTTAAGTAATTAATTTGCATTTTATTGCATGACATAAGTATTTGATCACCTACCAACCAGTAAGAATTCTGGCTCTCACAGACCTGTTAGTTTTTCCTTTAAGAAGCCCTCCTGTTCTCCACTCATTACCTGTATTAACTGCACCTGTTTGAACTCGTTACCTGTATAAAAGACACCTGTCCACACACTCAATCAAACAGACCTGCACAAGGCTGGGATGGGCTACAGGACAATAGGCAAGCAGCTTGGTGAGAAGGCAACAACTGTTGGCGCAATTATTAGAAAATGGAAGAAGTTCAAGATGACGGTCAATCACCCTCGGTCTGGGGCTCCATGCAAGATCTCACCTCGTGGGGCATCAATGATCATGAGGAAGGTGAGGGATCAGCCCAGAACTACACGGCAGGACCTGGTCAATTTTTTT